AGGACGAGGCGCGCGATGAAGGCGTCGCGAATCGCGGATTTGGAGGCGCGAATGCGCGGGCGCGCTTCGCGCGAGACGGCGTCGAGCGCGGCGACGACGACGGCGCGGGACGCGGACGCGGATCCGACGACGTCGTATTACGCGCCGTCGATCGGGGAGGACGAGGAGACGTTCGCGGGCGCGCGGGCGACGGCGCGCGAGGAGGCGGCGGCGCGGAGGGCGTACGCGGAGGCGTACGCGCGGCGAATGCTGGCGACGCGTCGACGAGGGACGAGCGCGGACGCGGAGGACGATTTGCGAGCGAAGCTGAGCGCGGATAAAGCGCTGGTGCTCGTGAATGATTGGGAGAGGGTGGTGGACGCGGGGGAGGCGCGAGCGCGGGAGCGGGAGAAGCGCTTCGCCGAGGCGCGCAGAGCGATGATGAGCAAAACGCGATTAAAGAGGGAAGGATTGTACGGATTGAGGCCGGAACAGTGTACGTGGAGCGCGTTTTCGAAATTGCGCGGGCTGTGGGAAAAGTACGCGCGGGCGCTGGTGAAGGACGCGAAGCGCGGCGAGGCTGAGGCGCGACTGACGCGCGGGCTCGACTTACACGGTTGCGTGCTCAAAGTCGTGCGTCACGCGCGCGCGCCCGATCTCGTCGGTCGCGAAGGTGTCGTTGCTTTTATCTCGTCGCGATGTCTCTGGCTCGTCGCGCGCAAGCGCGAGAAACCGATCAAAGTGCTCATCGACGGCGGCACGTTTGAGTTTGTTTTGGACGAGCGCGTCGTGCGTCTTTCGAGCGAGGACGTGTTGGCGTCCGCGCCGCGTCCGTCGTAGCGGACAAAGTTTCATGTAAGACCCATTAGTGTTAGGCGATTCGCATCCCTGGATCACGAAATCCCCAAAGTCGTCCGCGCCGCGTGGCGCGCGCGGCGCCATAACTCGGCGCCATGGCGTCGGCGGCGGATCGCATCGCCGCACTTCGCGCGAAAGTCGTGAGCGAGCGAGAAAAAGCGCGCGAGACCTCGCAAATCGCGTCCTCGTCCGCGCGGTCGTCCACAGAAGCGGAAACGGTCGCGGATGCTTCCATAGATTTTGAACGAAAACTCGCCGAGTTTCGCGCCGACGCCGACGCGAAGCTGCGCGAGGCCGTCGCGCGAGCGGTCGAAAAAGAACAAGCGAAGACAGCGGCGATCGTGGAAGCGATGAACGAGGGAAGCGGGGCGACGGAAGGCGCGGATGGAGACGATGCGCGGGCACTGCGGCAAAGGGTGGCGGCGTTGACGGAGCGCGCGAGCGAGGCGGAACGAATGCGGGGGATGGATCTAGCGAGGAATGCGTCGAGGGAGGACGAACACAAGAAAGAGATCGCGACGTTGAGGAGTGAGCGCGACAAGATGGCGACGGAATTGAAGAAATTGAGGGCACATTTGTTGGCGCTGGAGGACGAAGAGGACGAGGTGGCGGAGGAACAGGAACGAGAAATAGACGAGGCGAGAGAGGAGGAAAGGCGAGAATACGAACGGCGTTTAAGCGACTTGAAGAAGAACATGAGTGGAAACGATGCCGAGGTCACGAGGTTGCGGGAGGTGATAAAGGCTCGAGACGAAGAGGTGGAAAATTTACAAAAGGCGCTCGGGGCATATTACGCTGAAATCGAGAGCGCGGACGCGCAGCGCATTGAGTCGGCGAATCTACGACAAAAGCTAGCCGCACTCACCTCGCAGGCGACTGCTGATAGAGCAGCATGCATGGAAGCCAAAGAAAAGGCGAAGGAAGCGGAGGAAAGGTTGACTAAGTTTGAGGCTCACTTGAAAATCGCCAAGGAGGAATGCATCAAGGCCACGAGCGACGCGAGTAAGCTCAGGAAAGCGCTCCATCACGCCCTTCAAAAGAGCAGCGATATGATGGTAGAGAGTGAGAAATTGTTGGATAAGCGCATAGTGAGCGATTTATTCATCGCTTATCTCGAACGCGAACGAGCGGAGGACGTGCTCGATTTGCTCGCAAAAATGCTCGGCTTCACCGACAAACAAAAGGCACGGATGGAAGCTCTAAAGAGACGACAGAAAAAGCGAGGTGTGCTCGGAACGATCGCGCGCGCGCCCGTGAGCATTGCAGCTGGTGCGATAGGCGTCGCACTCGAAGTTACGGGCGCTACGGGCGAGAACAAACCAGTACCAGTCGCAGACTTGTGGATTTCGTTTCTCGAGCAAAACGCAGCCAACGACGAAGAAGTAGAGAACAAAATTCCGTCGTCAAGCGAGCTCATCTCAGCCGCGCGCGAATTGTAGAATAGCAATGTTAGGAATAGCAAAGATAGTAAATTACAAGCGCAGCGCTAGAGACGCGATTGCGCAACTTGCCACTGCTTCATCGCCTGTCTAACACCTAAATCGAGCATAATCTCCTCGCTCCCGCCCGGGATCGCATAAGCGCGAACATCGCGGTAGAGCCGCTCGATCTTTTCACCTTGACCTCCCCGGACGTAAGAGGCCCCACCAAACACCTGAGCCGCTTCTCTGGCGCAAAATTCAAACACTTTGGTGCTCTGCACTTTGGCCAACGCGGTGATACCCGCAAGCGCTTTCGAAGATTCTTCCTTCGTCATGGTATTCATTTGATAGGTGATGGTCTCTAGCAAGTAATGCGTCGCCTCGACTTGTCGAATCATCTCAGCGAGTTTGTGTCGAATCACTGGGTGCTCGATGAGTTTCTTACCAAACGTTCTTCGACGGTGCGCGTACTTGAACGATTCCTCATAGCACACGCGTGCAAACCTATTCGCCTGAATCACAAACCCCCAACGTTCGTGATTGAAGTTGTGCATGATATACTTGAAGCCTTCGTTTTCTTTGCCGATCAAATTCTCGACTGGCACTTTCACGTCTTCAAAGGTGATGAACGTGGTGCCGCTCGCCCAAACGCCCATGCAGTCCATGCGGCGACAATCCACGCCAGGCATCGAACGCTCGATGACTAGGAGCGAAATCCCACCCATGCCCGGCCCACCCGTGCGCACCGCGACGGTGAAATAATCTGCCCAAATCCCATTCGTGATCCATTTCTTCTCCCCCGTCACTCGATAAAACTTCCCGCTCGGATCCAACTTTGCCTCGCACCGAATGTTCGCCACGTCGCTGCCGGCGTACGGCTCCGTGATCGCCAGACATATGATCCCTTCCCCTCGCAAGCACGGAGCTCCTACCCTTCGTCGCAAATCTTCGCTCCCAAAGTTCAAAACTGGTGGCAAACCGATGTGTATGCCCTCCAGTAGTCCCCAAAGTACGCCGCCGCTCCCGCACCGCGCGAATTCGTCAAAGACGATCAACTCATGAAAGTAATCAAAATGCTCCGGTTCCTCGCACTCGGGGACCAAATCCTTCGGCCACGGTTTTCCAACCACCGCGGGTAATATCCCAGCCGCGTACGTCGCTCTGTACACTTCTGGAGGTATGGTTTTCGTCTCGTCCCACTCGTGCACGTACGGCGCGATGTCCCGCTCCACGAACGCTCGCACCTTGTCTCGAAACTTCGCGTGCGACATCGTGTAATACGGCGAATTAAACGTCGTGTACCACGACGGCTGTGATGACCATCGATTCGTACCGTCGTCAGTCCTCCGCGTCGCGTCGTCCGCGCGTCGCGTCGCGTCGATTCATTCGTTCCGTCGGGTTAGTAACCGTCCTCGGAATTCCATCGATTCGCGGCAGTCTCGTCGCGCGCGTCCGCGTCGTCCGCGCGCCCGATCGCGTCGCGTCGCGTCGCATCGCACGCACGTCGCCGAAAGGCACGCCCTCGCCGAACGGCTCGCGCGTCGTCATGATTGAACGATTCGATCGATTGTGCCGTCGGCTTGAAGTGACGCGACGCGACGACACACGCCGACGCCGACGCGGACGCGGACGCGAGGCGCGAGCACCGATGGCGAGGCGCGCGCAGTGGCGGTCGTTCGCGCACGCGAAGTGCGACGTCGACGACGCCCTCGCGACGACGTTCGCGCTCGCGAAATCGGTCGAGGTGGCGGTGCCGCGAGGACGGCGCGACGACGAGGACGCGATCGCGCGCGCGCTCGACGACGACGCGAATGCGATCGTCGGGACACATTTCGAGGCGGAGATGTCGATCGCGGACGCGCTGGACCCGCACTTCGTGCACGAACACGTGCGACGGTGGACGGCGGCGAAGACGAAGACGCGCGACGCGGGCGCGACGTTTGGGCTGACGACGATCGACGCCGAGGTAGATTCGGACGATTGTTTTTGCGTGACGCCGAAGGGACGATTCGTTGCGTCGCTCATGGCGGACGCAAAGGAAAGTTTGGGGATGCAAACGACGGAGGACGCGCGCGGGAAGGCGCTCGCGAGCGTGAATTTGACGCGAGAAGAGTTCAAGGTGGGGAATTGGTTTCACGATCGAATCGGGGCGTGTGCGCGGGCGTTTGAGCAGCGAACGGGAAAGTCAAAGGTATTGTGCGCGTACATGGTGAGTGGTGCGCACGAGGAGGTCAAGTTTCCACGCACAGTGACGGCGGCGAGGCGCGCAGAGAGCGTCAAGACTTCGTCGCAAGTTCGCGTCAATTTGGTGAGTCAAAGTGCCGTGTTACTCGCGTCTGCGAGTCCACCGATGAGAGGCGAGGAAAAGGACATCGATGTTGATGATTTAGATCGGATTTTAGAATTTTGTGGGCGCATAAGTCTAGGAGACGCCTACATGGAGGGCGCCGAGGACGACCGAGGCGACATCGTCGAGACGCGTCGCTGGCGAGGTTTGATGTTGTATCCAGATACTCGACGCGTGATTGATATCGCGCGAAGGATCGTGAACGATGGGCTCGCACCGTGGGCCGTCGTCACTGTTTGGGCTTTCGCACACATGCCGAGCGAACTCACAGGTGAGCCGAGAAAGAAAATTGAGCGCGACTCATGCGCGCCAAAGATGGGCGCCGTGTTCACCATCGTCTTGTACCCCGACGACAAGTATTTGAAATTCGTAGCGTAGCGTAGGAAATAGTGTATAGCTTGTGTACTCGTACATATTATTAAAAAGTAGAATCTCGCCAATGTGAAATTGTCCAGTGGAAGGTGGTGTGTGGTGTGTGGTACAATTAATCTGTTATCTTGAGACGTATTGAGAAAATTGTGTCCTTTACTTGGAGCCTTCGCCTTCGGCGCCGGAAGAACTTCGGGAGCCTTCTTTCGAACCTTCGTTCGAACCTTCGTTCGAGCCGTGACCGTACTCGTCCACTCCCTTGCCTTCGACTTCGCCGACCTTGTTCGCCTCGCTCGCGTTGGTTTCGTTCGACTTTGGTTTGTTGTCCGATCCGTTTGAGACGTTTTCAGTCGTCGTCGTCGTCGTCGTCGTTTCATCGTTGTTTCGAGTGAACTGTCCGCGAACGCGAGGACGGGATTCCGAGAGCTTTTGTCGCGAAGGGTAAAGAACTTTCTTTTCGAAGTTCCTTTCCTTGCGCTTCTTCAAAAAGCGTCGAATCGCCGCGGCGCGATGCTCGGCGGCTTGGCTCGAGCTCGTCTGCTGGGTGTGATCGGCCGCAGTTTGTAAAACGTTGAAAAACGGATTCGCCATATACGATTGATCCATCACTGAAGCGTCGACCGAAGACGCCGCCACCGCGGCGGCGGCGGCGGCGGCGGCGGAGAATTGGTTCATATCGGCGTACGGCGGCATCGGCGGCGGCACGGGCATTTCCATCTTCGGCATAATCGGTCCGTAAAATTTGGCGAAATCTGACGGTGGCATCATGGAAGACGCTTCATAAAACGAGTGATGCTGCTGCGTCAAGTCAACGCTCATCATTTGCACCGCGGTATCCTTGTTTTCGTTCTTAAGGTAGTTTTGAAACCCCTTGAACGCCGAACGCGAGTTTGATCGTCGAACGACGACGTGCTCAGACGCGTGCTCTGGTAAAGAGAGTTCGAGCATAGTCGTTGCCCCACCGTGCGCCTTGATGAGTTGCACGCTCAAGCCGCGGAACTTTTCGCCGTCGTTTGGATCACGCTGGCCCGACCCCGAGCCTTCGTGGGAGCCGCTACCGCTTCCCGTGCCTTGACCCGAGCCGCCCGAGCCGCAGTCTCCCGACCCACCCTCGCGACTGGCCCATCGATCGATCGCTTCGGCTTCGGCGCGTCTCGTGAGCGGTTTTTCGTTGTATTGATTATCGCTCCCCGAATCGTTTTGCCCACCGCCCGAGCCCCCCGCGACTTTTTCCCTGCTCGTGAGCTTGGTGAGCGACGACTTTGCGCTCCCGCCGACGTTGTCGTTTGGATCCATGCAGTTCCCCGAACCCGAACCCTCACCTTCAACGCTACCACTTTCGTGGCTTTTTAACGCCCGCGTGTGCGCCAAGCTCTCCTTCAACTCGATGCGGTTCACCGGTTTCGTCAAGAAACCGGCGGCGCCCGAATTTTCAAATCGCGTCTTGCACGCCTTGCGCTCGTCCACGGTGGACATGATGACGATCGGCACCCCGCGCAGGGTTTCGTTCGCCTTACACGCCTCCACCAGTTCGACTTCCCCGTCGAGTTCGGGCATCAACACGTCGAGCAAAATCATATCCACCGACGTGTCCTCCCTCGCGCTCTTCGGCGCCCCCCGCAAGACGTCCAAGACTTCGTTCCCATTCGTCGCCGCCACCACCTCCACCCCGAGCTCGCGCAGCATCGATTCCACCATCTTTCGCGTGTGCGCGTCGTCCGTCGCCAGCAGCACTCTCAAGTGCGCGCCCGCGTCGTTCAACCTCGGTCGCGCGCTCTTCCCATTCGTCTTCGCGCGCGCGCGTCCCGCGCGTCCCCCCCCCCCGCCCGCGTTTCTCGCGCTCGCGTCCTCGACCGCGTCCGCGAGCGCGTCCGCGAGTCGCGTCGCGCCCATCGCGTCGTCGTCCCGCATCGTCGCTCGCGCCCGTCGCCGCGCCTCCGTCGCGTCGTCGAGCGCGGTCCGGACGACGCGACGGACGCTGGTTTTCGCGCCGCGCCGCGCCGCGCCGCGCCGCGCGTCGATCGCGCCGCCGCGTCGATCGTCGCGCGCGTCGTGTGCCTGAGAATGCGGGGCGCGCGCGACGCGCGATCGACGAGTCGCGACCCGGCGCGGGGGGGCTCGAGCGAATCTTTTCGACGACGCTTTTTCGCCGCGAAAAAGCGAAACGCGGGATATTCGCAGACGTGTGATAAATGTACGTATTACACGCGTGTTGAAGGGTATGCAAAAGGGATCTCCCGCAATGATGCGTCCCGTTGAAAATATCTTCGAGCCGACGGCGGCGCGGTGGGCGGTCGGTCGCTCGGCGACGCCGGGCCGGGACGGGAAGGCGGACTCACGCGCTCGAGGCGAGGGCGGCGGCGACGTCGGAGCCGAGGGCGGAGGCGAGATAATCGCCGATCGACGCGAACGGACGCGCGACGGCGAGGTCGAGGGCGAATAAGGCGAACCAAAACGCGCTGGGACGCGTCAAAAAGGCGCGGACGTAGTCGGCGTCCGACGAGACGACGTCGCGCGCGCGAAGTGAGGCGCCGAACGTGGACCAGTTCAGGAGCCAAATCAAACCAAACGTGCCGTGAGCCCATATCGTGGGGAGACCGGGTCTCGCGGCTTCGAGCGCGGCGACGGAGGCGACGTCGAGGACGCGCTGCGCCGGGAAAATTTGAGCTCCGAAACCGAGCGTGCCGAGCCACACCGCGAGCGCGGCGCGCTTGTCGTCCTTCGTGAACAGGACGATGTATGCCGACGTCATCGTTTGCCACACGAATGGCAACCACGCCAACCAAAGGGTGTCCAATCCGGGGACTCTGAGCGCGGGATCGACGACGCCCGCGAAGCGAACGCACTCCCACGTCAACACGAACTGAAACGCGATCGATCGCGCGCTGAGCTCGGTTTTCCGCCAACCGCGGCTCTTTGAAAGTGGTAGTCCACTCAACGCGCACACCGTCGCCAGCGTGAGCGCGACGCCGGTCAACGCGGGGTCCAGCCCCGGAGTCGCGCCGCCACCGCTCGTCAGCGCCGTCGCGTCGTCCAGCGCCCACTGGCCCATCATTCCCGCCCCTAGCGCGGTATATAACGTTCCCGACACCGCGTGCGTGTGATACTTGTCCGCCTTGGTCCACATCCTGCGAAACGCGCGCTCGGGAGTCATTTCGTCGTCCTTTGAGCTCGTCGACGCCTTCGCGCTCGTCGACGCCCGCGCGCGCGCGCTCGTCGACGCGCGCGCGCGTGGAGACGCGCATGACGACACTGTGTGCTTCGGCCACGCGTGGACGCGAGACATCGTCCGCGATGACGGTGCGCGCGCGCGTGTGCGGGGCGGCGCTATTCACACGTCGAGTATACAGAGCTACTTATTACGACACCCACACATCGGAGGCGCTACTAGGCGTGACTGCGCTGTGATCACGACGTGTCCATCTTCACCGCCGCGTTGACTTTGATTTTATCGATGAAGTGAATTGTTTCGGCTTTGGAGACCAACAAGTTGCATGACGTGCGACCGCGCCAGCACGCGATGGCGAGGTCCGCCTTGCTGACGTTGATGGCGGCCAGATCTTCATCGCGAGGAACGAGAATGCAGCATCCCAAAGTGAGATCGAGCAAGGCTTTTTTGGTTTCGGCGCAAGAGATGACGGCGCGTTGCGGCGCCTCTGCGCTGTACTCAAACGCCAACGTGCGACGTTCAAGGATGGCTTTAAAGTCGTCAAAAGTCGGGCGAATGATGCGCTTTCTCACGAACGGGAACATCATCGGTATTCCGTCTTGCGTGAGACGGAAATCACACATCGCACCAGAAGTTTCTTCTTGTTCTTTGACTTCATCCTTGATTTCCTGGCGCTCGAACGCCTTGAGCCCGCACGACGTCACGCGAAGACTTTCGTTGACGTCGCACGCTAAGTACTGGCGCAAGGAGTCGGTGATGGTGTACACACGCTTCGGTCGTGAAGTGTCCGCAGTGCGTGTGACACAATTTTTGTGTAACGCAATGTCATCGCTTTCGATACCGTAGACACTGTAGATGCTATTGATCACCTTCGGATCGTTCACCGGAAGCACAGGATCGATGCCGAGCCATCGACTGCCCCCGTTCGGACCCGTCGCGCCTCTGTGTGGGAGCAAATACTCGCCTTTGTCGTCGACTTCCGGAGGTATAGACGCAGTCTGACCCTTGCGGGCCAACGTGATCACCTCATGTGACATCTCGATCTCGTTCTTCGCGTTCACGTTGAGCGAAAGGCGAACACGCTCCTTCACAGTTTGCTTCTTTGCGTTCACGTCTTCTTTGATCTCCATGGGCTTAACTTTCTGGAATACGGCGACAAAGAATCCACCAGTGTCTTGATGATGAGGCAAAAGTCGCAGACATCGCTCCAACGGCAGTTTCTTCGTCTCTTCGTCGGAGAACATCGTCTCGCAGAGCTTGAACATTTGCTCCTCGCCTCGAAAGCTTGGGTGATAGCCAAACTTATCCCACACTTGCCAATCGCGCAATCCAGGGCTACGCTTCAAGTCTGGCAATTCGTCACTCACATCGAGAAGCTCCAAAGCACCATCGCATTCCTTCAACAACGCCGCCACGACAGCTTCGTTTTCAATCGGATTCAGCGAGCACGTGCTGTACACGAGACGACCGCCCACCTTGAGGAGCTGAGCACCGCGAGCAGCGATTCTAAGCTGTAAGGTATGCAAACCGTTACCATTACCAGGAGTCCATCTGTTCCAGATATCCGGTGCCTTGCGCATCGTCGCGTCGCCCGAGCACGGTACGTCGCACAGGATGGCGTCAAAGTCGAAGAGTTCACCCTTTGGGCCTTTGATGATGGGATAGTTTTGCGCTTCATGATTGGTCACGAGTAACGTCGGTGAGTTCGCTCGCTTCGTTTGATGCGTCAGTAAGTTGCAACGCTTCAAATCGACGTCATTGGCGACGACGATTCCGGTGGGAAGCTTGGTGTTGCCGTCAAAATCACCGTGCATGCGTTCCAAAATCTGAAACGTCTTGCTTCCCGGCGACGCGCACATGTCCAAAATTCGATGATGCGGTTGCGCATCCAAGAAAAACGGAGGAATCATCGATACTGCCTCTTGCCTAGAGATCGACCCGAGCTCGTTAGCGTTCTTGATGAAGTCGAAAATTCCTTGCAGCGCCGGCAACCGTCGCAACTGCGCTCGCGTATAACTACACTGCCACGCCAATCGCTCGGGATACCACGCCAACGGCTTCGGCGGCGGTAATTCATTTTGTTCCTCATCTTTCAATTCCTCTTTGAGCAATTCCGCGAACAGTGTCCCCTCCAATTGGTCTCGCATATCCGTCGCGAACTTTCCACTTCCATTGATTCTAAACGTCATCGGCAACGGCGACCGCATGCAGTCCAAAAACGTCTCCCACTCGCTCTCCGGGACGATATTCTGGGCTTTGTAGTACGTCTCAAACGCTTTGTTCGTCTTCTGGATGTCGTGATAGCCGTCGTGCGCGTTCCCTCGTTCACCTCGCGCATCCATGCCGCCGCCGCCGTCGCGTTTTTGTCGCTTGAAGTCGCGCGCGAAGGCGCCGCTTTGAGGACCGTTCCCGCGACCACCGCCTCCTCGACGCTTGTTAAATCGACCCCGACCCATTTCGAGGGAAGTTCCGTCGCGCGCGCGCGAGTGCGGCGGCGACTCGATCGCGATTGCTTTGGCGGCCGTGAGGTCAAAAAGTCTCTGACAATCATCGCGAATACAATTTATTACAATTTGGCCGCAACCGCGCTAAGATAATATGAATACAATGAACAGAGACAATGCAGTGCCGAGGAATATACCGGCGACGAGGGCAAAGCTGAGGACGACGCCCTCGGCTTGACGTTTTGAGAGCGGCGCGCGGCTGGCGCCGTGCATCATGGCGACGCTCGCGAGCCAACCATTCGTCACCGCGAGGGCGGATATGAAGAGGAAGGGGAAGAAGTCGGACGCAAACACGGTGGGCACGCGCCAGTTCGGCGTGGTGACGTTGCAGGCGGCGAGAAACGGGATGAAGGCGAATCGAAGCGTCGCCGCGCGCCGCAACGACGCGCCTCTCGGCGGCGTCTTGGGATACATTCCAGCCAGATGTCGGCCGAGAAAATCGCCCAAGTTGAAGAGTAAGAATAATACCGGCGACCAAAACGCTCCCATTGCGCCGTGCGAGCTCTCGATTGAGCTCGTGATTGCCGGAAACGCGCAGAGGCTGGCGATAAACGTCAACGCGACGGCGAGTCTATAATCGCGACTCTCGTCGCCGAAATCCTCCACGCCTGTGGAAGCTCTCAACGGCGCGCCCTCGACGTCGCTGTCGTACTCATCGACGTCATCATCCCGTAGGAGCGCGTTCATCTCCGACCGGCGCCCATCTCGATGCCGCTCGACCCCAGTGAGCTCTTCGAATGCGGGCGTCTTGTCCAATCGCGCCGCCGTCGCCGCGCAACCCAGCACCACCGCCGCGGCGACGTAAAAATACGCCTGTGCGCCTTTCGCGGACGACGAGGACGAAACTGATCCCCCACCATACGCAGTCGTCGCCAGCGCCACCAAAGAAACCACCACCCCACTCACCGCCTGCCCGCTCATCGCGCCCTGCGCGAACTCGGGCGGCAACCGACTCGCGAGCGCGAACCCCCCGGACTGCGCCACCGCCGTCGCCAATCCGACCACCACGATCACCCCTAGCGTCTGCGCGAATACGACGTCCATTTTCACCCGTTCCACGCCCGCGACGACCCCACACGTCCATATCCCCACCGCCGCGATTCCCAGCGCGCTCGCCGTCGCTCGCGAACCCGTCGCCGCGCCGCGCGCGTCCCCATATTTCACCAACCCCGCGCATCCGATCAGATTGCTCAGCGCGTACGCGTTCGCGAACGTCCCTTCGAAATTCGCCGCGAAGAACGACCCATCGTTCGCGCCATCGTTCGCGAACCGTCGCGCGAAGTACGCGCGCTCGGTGATGAAGACGTTCCACGGGAACAGCGTCCCCACGCCCACGGCGACGAAGCGCGCGTACAGCGCGCGCGCCGGCGTCATCGAGGCGCGCGTCGCTCGAGACGCGTTCGCGTCGTCGCCCGCGCGTCGGCGTCGCGCGTCGGCGTCGGCGTCGACATCGTTCGCGTCGTCGTCGTCGTTCGCGTCATCGACCGTCGGGACCGACGCGTCGGCGGCGGCGGCGGCGATCGCGTCGCGCGCGCCGCGCTCGGAGTCCCCGCTCGCGCGCGTCGCCGGCGTCGCGCGCATCGCGCCCGCGGCGAGGCGCGCTCTGCGGCGTCGCGCCATTCGTCGACGCATCATCGATCGAGACGATGACGTTCGCGACGACGACGCGCGCGACGACGACGACGGCGCGATGCGCGACGACGCGACGCGCGACGACGCGACGCGCGCGCGGCGTGTTCGCGGCCGCGCGGTCGAGCGCGACGCGCGCGCGCGCGACGACGAAGACGATGACGACGACGCGAAGGCTGGAATCGCCGCGCGTCGGGAAGACCACGCGCACGCGCGCGACGCCCGCGGACGATGAAGGCGACGTGCCGTTCGGGTACACGCGCGCGGACGTGATGCTGATCGGGACCGGGGTCACGGGCGCGGGATTCGCGGCGTACTACGGGTTGCAATCGTTCGCGGGGATGGATTCGACGAAGGCGGGCAACGCGGTGCAGTTGACGTTCGTGCTCGGATTGACGCTCGCGTGGGTGGGGTCGTACGTCATGCGAGTGTTCAATAAGGACATGACTTACGCGAAGCAGTTGAAGGATGTGCGTGCGAAGCGAACGAGGCGAGAGCGCGAGACGAAACGCGAAGGAGAAAGAAAACGCGAACCGAAGACTGACGCTCAGACGTTTCGTTTCGACGATGGTTAAACAGTACGAAAACGCGGTGATGCAAAAGCGTTTGGAAGAAATGCCGGCGAGCGAGCTGGAGAAGATGATGGACGAATTGGACGAGAAGTGAGTAGTGTTCTATTGCAGTGTAAGTGCGGCGCTTTTATCAGTTTATCCTCTCGCCCTGGCGCGACGCGCCTCCTCTTCCCCGGCTAAACGATCGCTCACGCTCACCATCCCACGACGGTCGAGGAACGGATACTCGCCCACCCAGACGTTAAGGAACGGAAAATACGCCTCGCGAACGGCTTGAAACGTGTAAAAGTACGGGTCGTCTGATGTCACGATGAGCTCGACGTCGTCGCCTACGTTGATATCCGCGTACTCCGCTTTTAAAGGAACTTTCAGCGGTACTCGCGCCCCGGATCTATCTCCGACGACTAGGTTAAACATCCAATCTACG